TTTGCTTTGCTCTGGTCATGTCAATGCAAATATGTTCACTTGAAATAAAAGAAAAAACGGTTTATATATTTTTTATTGTATGGGTTTTTTATAGCGGCTCACACTCCCCCATAACAGGAGTGCAGTATTAAAAATTTGATTTTTACAAAATTACAAAAATTTTAAAAAAATCAATTTTTCAAAGAGGCCAGGACTAAAACTGGCTCAATTTTAAAGCACAGAGTTGTAAGCACAGAGTTATGCCTAGTTATTTTCTTTTCGTTTTTTTCGTGTATTATTGCTTTCATTTTGGTGCTATTATTTATCCATGTAACTGTATGATAGATGATTAAACTAAATAAACATTTACAAAAAATCCACTTTCTCTGAAAGCATTCTTTCAAAAATGTTAAAATGTTGGAAATTATCCAAGTGACATTTATAAGTTTAACTTCATATTAACCACATTATAGAGTTCAAAAATTGGGAAAAAATACATGCTATATTATGTTGTTCAGGAATAAAACATGAAATATGACCTCATACAAAGCAATAAAAATAAAAACGTTATTCTGTAAACGTTGTTCTAAAACAAAATAATTCAAAAAAGGCCACAAAGTAATTCAAGAATACATGTGTATCTTGCAAGAGTTGCCACCATGTATGAAATTGTTATAAAAGCTCAATTGTTTTCCCAATCATTAATCAGTATTCTTTTCAAGTAAAAAAAGGGAAAGCAGTATTCGTTTTTTAAAGCACTGTGCATCAAGTGTTTACAGAGCTGAGAACACTGGACCACAGCACTAAACATGCTAGCATAGCATAGCAAAGCAAAGCTAGCATGTTAACTTACCGACAAAAAAGTTTACCTCACGCACCAGTGTCGATAAAATGACTTAACAGCACATAAACGGACGATTAAATATGCAGAAATAATTTGTATTTGTGTGCGGGGAAAAATAATTGACGACATTACCATAAAAGCAACAATGTTGTGGTATCAGTACAGTCAACTCGGAAATAACATTTAACCCGAAAGGACAGCACGCTGTTCAATCGAACGAATGAAATTACGTGCAATAACAGAAAACCATCCTCAGAGTTTAATTCTTACCTTTCGGTTTTTCAAACATTTGTCTTTTCCGGACGAGCCATCCGCTGTACTGTCCACAGAGGTGAAAACGCTATGCCGCAGCAAACGCTACCAGGTTAACTTGACGCCAAAAAGGGTTTATCGAGACAAAAACTAACGCACTAGTGTCCTTGATATGGCCGAACATCAAATAAACTGCTTTATTATGTAGTTTAATTGTAAAAAGTTTGCTTGTGTGAAGTTATCTTTCCCCTTGTGACTACCACACACACTCGACGACGACCAAATGTTTGTTTGAAAATCTAGAGCGACCATTTCCGGTATAATTTAAAATGGCCACGCATGCGCAAACCAGGGAGAGAAAGTGACGTAACTTTACCTTTATTTTTCAAGACATTTTTGGGAAATTATTAGTATAGTATTTCACTGTGACCAAAACTTGCATACCAAAAAAGTATATTTTTTTTCTGCGAAGTTCTGGGACATACAATAGACGACTATTTTCTTACCATTGTCATTTCACCCATTTGAATATCGTTTTCAAGTGTAACTGATTCAAAAAGCACAGTAGCAGTACATTGTTTGACTAATTTGTATTTTAAGAACATTGCCTGCTGGCACCTTAGGTAGTCCATGGTTAATTACGTTTTGGCACGGTCTAAATGTTTAATAAAAGTCATCAGAGAATAAATAAAAACAAACAACCTTTCCCCAATATATAACTTTATTTAAAATATTGTTACAATTTATTACTCTACACAACATTTTCAAATATTTTTCTCATTTTTTTTCTTACAATGGTTAGTAAACCTTTGTGTTTTTAGGATATAAAACTCTCTGTATTGTAGCCGAGTTCAGCATTGGGTGTTAATTTGACGTCTTTGTAAATACAAAACTGCGTCTTTGTGAAACAGTTTGTGTTTGTGTGTCACGTCGCGGTTGGCTAATCCTCCACACACACAAAATTAACGTTTTGACGTTGGCTCTAAATACGTTACACACTATCATTTCTCCAATATTTATAATTTCTGCTTAAATAAATAAAAGTTCAGAGTTGGAGAAAGAAGAGTGCATTGTGTCCAAAGCATATTATGTTTTTCTTCTTTTTTTTTTCTTAAACAGCTATTTACAGGTTATGCTAACGGCGGACAAACAGGCTTCGCTGTTGGAAGTGACGTCTCTGCCTACCTGTGGTGGAAAAGCCAACAAACAGGAGGGACAAGGAGAGGGAGTTCTCAATGGACCTGAAGGCCCTCCAGTAGTCTATACCTTTGGCAGTTAAAATAAAGGATAACTCAAGTTAATTTCAGCCAATACTAGTTACTGTAAGTTTTAATAAAATCATTTTTAAATCTTATCTAAATGCTGCAAGGATGGCTGCCTGTTTGCAATACTGATCTGTAGTCTGTACAGTTGATAAAGCTTTAGTATTGAAGAATAAATACTGTTCTTAATTACACTTTATATTTTATGCTACTTTTAAACTATGTGCTACTGTATTTGTACTCCATTATGTGCCACATGAGAAGTATATCAGTGTGATTCTCTCACTCTCTCTATGCATCAACAACAATGCTGTGCAATTATGTGCCATGAAAAGTGTACGCTTTCAGTTCAAGATGCTAAACAACAGTCATGCATCAAGACTGTGGATTATCTCTGTTTATTGTATCTCATTTAATAAACACACTGAATTTCACAGCAGCACAACAAACTCTACAGAGAAGAGGTTGAAGATGCTGATGGCCATGAATATGCATTTAATGAAATTTAATTTTACTAAATATGAAAAACATCTGATTCAGGCAAACTTTGAGCTTATACTTACTGTAGGTGCTGAGATATTTTTTAATTCCATGGCAATTCATTTCCATTTGCTATGTTTGAGGCCCAGTCCCTAAAATCCAGATTTTTTAAGCAGAACAAAACTTTTCATGTTTATAATACTTTTCACATCAGTCTCCTGACTGAGTGAAAAAGTGGGGAAAAAGCCAACTGTGTTATTGTTCCAACTACACTGTACTTTATTTGTTAGATTTATTCACCATATAAAAGCATTAATGTGACAGACAAAAATTACTTTCCTTCCACCAGTGGGCTCTGGCAACTGTTTGATAAAATATTAATGAACCAGTGAGTCTTGGTGCACCCAAAACAAAACAAAATCTCACCCATATGGGAGCCACAATAAGTTAATTTATATATATATATATATAAAAGAACAAAATGTAATGCTTGCATACAAATATTGAACACTTAGAAGCTAACTACCTAGGGTCTGTAGGGTCTTCTAAAGCCACCATTGACGTATTGGCCTGTGTTATGGAGGGGGGACACCTACTGCCCACTTAACCTCATGACGGCGGCGGCTGGTCCAGTTAAACTGCGGCCTTTAAAGTGAACGAATGTAGCTTCATAGGATTAACCAAGCCTAACAACACATCTGTAGGTATAGACTCTCTGGGTGGAATGAGCATCAATCACCGCCTGGAGAATCTCTGTCCCCCTCCTCTTACCCTTGCCTTCTTTCTCATTCCCTCTCCTCTCTGCTCCTCATCAGCTGTATCGACCAGCGCTTTGGGCCCCTGGTAATTAAAAGGCATTGATCAGCCTCCGCCGCAGGATGTCAGGATGTGAACACACAGCACAGCAGGCTGGGACCCTATGACAGAACAGGTGTCTATGCACAAGGGTGAATGCATCTGCATTTGATTAACATATAGACATAGGTAAATGCTATGCCACACCAACGTTAATGTTCAGAATGGATCTTCCAATTGGTTTTTCTGTTTGACATTTCCTGCCCTGTTTAGTCGTCTTTAGCCCGGCCTGTACGGTTCCCCTCTGGTTCATCTGTATTCTTTGCAGCAAATCTTTTTAAGTTACATATCAGCGTCCCAATTCCACACTCATGAATCTGCATGAGGCACTAATGTGCCTCCACTAAGGTTCTGAGAAATGACCATGTGGGTAAATTACCATGCTTTGTTATTAAATGAGAGCAGGATGAGGGAGGGGAAAAACAAAACAAAAAAACAACTGCTGATTGATCGAGGAACATACACAAACGCTGAAGCTCATTTTACCCAAACACACACAAACACACGGTGGTCTTTACACACATTCTTTTATTCCGTCTGAGTGAACACAGTAAATCTAAGTGCTGCTAGATTGCTGGCCCTGCACATTTCTCCTAACGTGGAGCGAAAGAGAGTCAGCTCATCAAACTGGGAGTCATGCTCGCCCTGAATGAGGACCAGCACAACACTATAAATACACTGCTGACTCTTCACTCAGTGTGGCACACTGACTGAGTGACACACTGAAGGCCACACACGGCCGACACAGCCCCCAACACTTACTGCACAAATAGCTGCATGAAAATATTTCTCTAATTCCTGGCGGTGTCCACAGTGTAGGTCTTTCTTCTTGTGCTGTGATAAACGTCGGTGGCCTTTCATCTGATGTTTGTGACTGAGTAACGCTCGTCTGAGAGCCCATCTTCCCCCGCCTCTGTCCCTCATAAATCGCATGAAATACCCAGTACGGCCCTCTTTCCTCCATTAACCCTCCCCAGTTTCTTCCACCCAGTCCATCCCCCTCCCCATTCTCTTCCTCCTGAACGAGTGATCAATTAAGGCGCTGTCCAGCACTGGATGCGAGTCAGCACTTTCCCGGCTCCTCCTATGCCCTCACTTTGTCATTTTTCTCTTCTTTTTGGCCGTCGTGCCAGGCTCTGTCAACAGAGAGCCAGGGAGAGAACACAGCAGCCCAGAGGTGATGGGGGGAAATAGTGAGCATTTGTTATTTTCAAGATGAGAAACTGTCTGTACAGGTGTGACTGCTCGGGTGTCAAAATGTGCCGGGAGGAATGCATCCTACTGAAGAAGATCCTTGACAGGAAGTTTACACTCAGCTAAATTTAGAGGAAGTGAAACCAGACAGAAAATAGAGAGAGGTGTGGAGTTAAACTACTTGTAGAACTTCCCCTACACATTGTGTAGCAGCGTACATTGACCACAACAGACAGAGACACTGAGTCAGTAACTGAGTAAACACCATGACCAACGGAGTCTTGGTGTAAACACAAACACCAGTGAATACAAATGTCTTAGGCCACGTCCAAGTTAAACAAAAGTGGAATTCCGTGATTTAGTTCTCTGTACGTTTTCTTAGCAGTAACAATACGGTGGATTTGACCTACGCAGCAACATTTTATGGCACAAAGAATAATGTCAGCAAGAAAAAATAAAACAAAACCAGGACATAAATACTCAACTGTCCATCTGCATCAAAGACAGAATTCAGGACAGATGGAGTACCATCTGGAGCAGCATCAACAGAGGCGCTGAATCAAGACACCAAGTATCAGCTACCTTAGATGGAAACGTCACCGTCATACACAACAACAACACGGCAGTAAACTGTGTCTCTCAGAGGACACCAACATTCACAGCCGCACCCTGGTGAAGACTGTTCCACTGATCGGTCACAACTCAAGTCTTCGACGAAACATCTTCAAACAACCAGTCTAGTCCAGTCGCCTACATCTGTACTGAGACCATCATACACCCTGTTTCCTTGTTGTTAACAAGAACATTTTTTTAAATAAAAATGTGAAGTGATTCTAACCAGACACAAAGGAACATGTTCTGTGAAACTTTTCTTTAGATGAAAAGTCTTCTCTGTTGTCAACTGCTTTCTCCAGTCTGAACTCTTACACTTTCATAATCACTGGATCAAAAAACATTTAACACTGTTAGTTTCTTCAACTTTTGTTTTTTTTTTCTTTTATATATATTTTTTAATTTTATGTTAATCTGACACCTTTTTAAACTGACACAATTACAATTATTACATATAAAACATTTGAACAGTACAATAAACGAATGGTGGCCAAAGACATTTGCACAGCCCTGCACAGTGGTTTGGAATTAGAAAATTAAATAACAGCAATATAATTGAGATACAAATCTGAAACAGCTTTCAATGTGTAAGAATTCACAGCTTAACGTCGGTCCGTAAACGTCATACTTTCTTTCACTTTGACTAATGTTAGCGCCAAACTACAGTGATGTATAAATGGGTAAAACAGGCTTTTTATTAGTTAGAAAACAAACTAATTGTGTCTCATTTTTTTTTCCTCACCGTAATGAGAAGTGAATAGCCGTGGGGTTGTGTGCGGAAAAAGGGTAAGGAAATACTGAAAATTTAAAACTTGTGTGAGACAGTAATTTATTACCTCTGTTTTGTCTCTCACATTCTTTGAAAACACCTGAAATTACTTTATGTAAATAATGTTATGCATACATTTTAACAAGATCCAACGTTCTCCTCAGACCCTGTCAGCCACAATTAGGTCACTGCTCCGTGGGACAGGCCTCCATTCTTGGTTCATTCTTAACCAGTTAATTCAGTTTTCCAGTCACGATAGGCTCTGCAAACCGGTCGTGGCTGAGGAGCCTGTGATCTGCGCTGATTGTTGCAGATTATGTTTAGCTTTGCAGAGATAAAACCCTGCAAATGGAAAGAGGGGGAACTTCATCTTTTAAAAGCGTATTAGTCTCACAGGTCTTTCAATTTGACGGTCATTAGATAGAGGTGATTGAATAATAGATGAGATCCTCATCTGTGCTGCCTCGGCCGCCGCTTTTTGATCTTGATCTTTGGTCCACGTTTGTTTATCCGAGCATCAAGCTGTTTACTCCACTTAAATCTGCCAATGACACAAGGGATAAATTCTCCTTCCTTGACGGGCGCTCTCTGTCGTCTGTCCTTGTCAAAGCCTCTTTCTCTCTCCTTGGTGCCCTCTCCTCTACACATCGCTCTAAATGGTGCGGTCCTTCCTAAATGTGGGGGTGAAACGCTGTTTTACTCCCTGAGGAAAATAAAACTGTCAAATGACTATCTTATTTATCCGACCCCATCACTCAGTATTGTCTTTCCTTTTCTATGTCTCTCACTCTAGTCCTTGTTTTAAGAGCTGCTTCACTTACAATCATCATAGACTGATTTCTTCCTTTCCTTCTCACTACTTTTCCTCTAGTTTAAGGGGAAAGTCTTAAAATGAACCAGGATTCATTTCACCATGTTGGTAATCTTTCAAAGCCCCCGGCTGTTCCGCATCCTGATTTTATCGTCACTCTGAATCCCCCTTCCTCATCTTTTTAATCCAACATTCCACTTACAAAAACAGAAAATACTGCTAAAAAACACACACGTTTTTTGTTTTTCTATTTTCCAATTCTTCTCACACCCGAACCACAAAGCCCATGGTTCATCGGAAATTGTGTTTTCAAAGCCCAGTCCATCCGTCATCCTTAATTCATCTACCTCCTCCATTCATTGTTTTCAGACAAAGTCCTTTGAAATAGCATCCACAAAGTTAGGGGCCGACATGAGGATAGAAATGGTGCATATGATGTTAAAGACACTGAACGCCACAAGACACAGACGGTCAATCACAGCTCCGGCAAACTTCCACTGGTCGGCCACTCGCTCAGACTCGTCCTGCTCCCTGAAGCGGTCTGCCATGAAGCGGACCTCCTCCAGGATAGCCTGCAGCTGGGGGTCTCCTATCCCTGCAGTGGAACACCCTCCTGCAGCACCTCCAAAACCCCCACCACTGGAGACAGTGCTGGGGCAACACACAGTGTCCATATTAGGAGTGGTGGGCGGTGGGGAGCTGCAGAACTGGGACGGTAGGTGTGGAGGTGGGCTTCCTGACACCCGCACAGAACCTGCCGAGATGTTGTTCCTCTGGACATGCTCTGAAAGCACCGTCGGCTCCTCCATGCTCTGGAAGCCCATGTAGAGGAGGTTACCGTTATTGTTGGCACTGGACTGTGTGTGCAGGTGGGGGTGTCCAGCGTGGAGTGGCCCGGTTTGGAGAGGAGCAAGGTTCTGCGGGTGCAGCGGGTGAAAGGTGGGGTCCGTGGGGTTAGGGATGCTGCCGCTCTGAGAGCCTGAGGAGCAGCGCCGTAGGTGGGGTGCACACGGGGGCCGCCCTGGGTCATCGTTCTCTCCTGGTCGCTTCATACGCAGGAACCACGCCACCCACTGCAACAAGACCAGCTGCACCTGTGCACAGATGAAGAGATGTGTGGGTGGAAGAAAAGGCCGAGGAAAACAGCAGCAAAGTGTGGAAAAAAAAATCCTGTTTACTGTACATACATGTAACATATTAAAAAAATAGTTTAAAGTCAGACAGTTTGGCACGAAGAAAGAAGGACACAGACTGAAGGAATTAACCACGAGTCTCTGCTAACAGCTAAGACCAAGGAGGAAGGAAAGGGCGG